TTTTCATTTAAAAAATGGCCTCGAGCTCATTATAAAATTGTTGAATAAAACCTACGACTTCAGTGAAAATTGCGTTCAAGGGTAATAAAATTCCAAAGCACGTAAAATTATGTAAATGCATTTGTGAAGTCGACTATTTTGTCCCTGCTGTCAAGCAATGTAAAAAATGCGGGCGGTTGGGACATATAGCAGCGTTTTGTAAAGCCAAAGAGGCAAGGTGTTTACAGTGTGGCACTATTCCGCGCTGTGACCCGGCCTGTGGTCAAACTAAATGCTTGCTGTGTGGTGCCTTAAACCATACCGCAGAAGTACGTTCTTGTCCGGTCCGCGTTAATCGTCAAGATGTACAAAAAATTATGACCATTGAAAATATATCTTTTTTTGAATACAAGGAAAAGTATGGTTATGAAAACCGTTTTTCTCTACTGGATAATTATGACGAGGAATTCCCTAGCATCAGCAGGGAGAATAATATAGATACAGTCGGAGATACACAAAGCGAAGTCAATAGACTTTTAACAAAGTCGAGGTATAACAAAATGGTTAAGGAAGGCAATAAAAAGATGTTAAATCCTGTACAAAAAGAAAGGGTAATACATAAAAAAAAGAAGGATAACCCGGATCCCAACACACGCGGGATGTGTCTAGTCAACACTCAAAGAGTAACAGAACTTGAAAAAATTATCAATGACCTAGTCAAAATGTGTGCTCATCTTTGCGAATTTGCAAAGGAGCCAACATTTATCGAAATGTTCAATAATTTAAAAGCGAAATATAACCTCAACGAATGTAATGATGGGATGCTACAAGAAGACATTAATGTGAATGAGATTTCTACAATTTAACATACAGAGTTATAAAGCAAATAAATATAATCTTGAATATTTCATAAATAACAATGATATTGATTTGTGCTTATATCTGAAATTTTTACATTTAGTGAGAACGATTTTAACCTAAAATTGCTTAATTATAATCTTGTGCACAGGTTTAGACAAGGCAGATTTGGTGGTGTTGCTATTGCCATTATGAAACCGATACGATTTAAAAAGATACAGCTTCGTACTACCAATTTAAATCCAAATATTAACATTATCTCTGTACATTTTCATCCCAGTATGTCACTTGCCGATTTCACGAATGCGTGTAAACTAATGTTCGATTTTGCAAATATGAATAAGAATACCATTATTCGTGGCGATTTCAATGCCCGCTGCTCTGTTTTCGGTGACACGGTATCTCTGCCGAAAGGAACAATGTTAAGCAATATGTTGTCTGCTACTAACCTCAGATGTCTAAATAACCACAAACATACGTACTATCAATCGCTGCAAAACAATGAGTCGCACAGCAGTGTTCTTGATTTAACATTTTAAAATTTTGGAGTTGATGGCTCCACCTGGGATATATCCTCTGTATATCTAGGTAAGAGACACCATCTTCCAATCATCTTTCAACTCCAGGGTCTGTCAGCGCCTCAGTTCATACAGTTTAGATCCAACAAAAAATTAAATGAATCGATTGCAGAGCTTTGTCTCTCTTCTTTAATCAACGAGATAACTGAGTCGTTTAAATCAGCCATTTCCAATTCCACTGTAGAGATTCCCTCAGAAAGAGGTTGGACGCCCAAATCGTGGTGGAACGATTCCCTTTCCGTGTTGTTTAGAAGGATGAAAGCAGCAAGGGCAAAGTTAACTAGATATTGTAACCAAACAAATTATAATACTTATAAAGAGACTGTGAAAATTTGGAATGAAGCTAGAAACAAAGCGAAAAGGGAATCTAAACAAGAACACCTTCAGTTAGATCTCATAAAGCATTGGTTAACAACCCTGTCACTCGCAATAGTTGG